ATTCAGAAACAAGAAGTCTAAAACCCGTGGAGTGAAACAGGCAGTTCCCCAAAATGGGGTCATATCTCCGGAACTATTTAACCTCTACCTTTCTGAAATTCCACAATCACCGGACGGCATGGAGATCGTAATGTATGCGGATGATCGTGCGATCATGACGTCGGGTACCGTTACCGATGACATTTTTGAAAGGTATCATATAAGAAAAATGGCATATAAGAAAGATTATTAAAAACACCGAGCTTATACTTTCTTATATCCGATAATTCTATATATGAAAAAAACGCATATAAGAATGAAATCTCCGTTTTTTTTTTGAGTTTCTTATATCCGATATCTACTGTATCTATATAGCAGATTTAGTAGTTCTTCCCTCTGAACATCATGGTCTTTGGTACATTAATTCCGATCACAAACTACCCCAAAATTGTGGGTGTATCGTTCGAAAGCTTATAAAAGTCGTCCGCGCAAGCCACCGCTATTTACGATAAGATGAGAAACAGGAACAAGGTCCTCAAGTTTTTTTTCCTGAAGCTTTTGGACTACTGATAAAGAGAACTTTTTGATCTCCTTCAAAGCAAAAGGTCGGTCGTTGGTAAGCTATGGGGCGCCAATGTGGTTCGCGATTGTAAGTGATACGCAGTGGATGAACATTTAAACATGTCAGAATGTTGCCCTGAGAACAGCGACAGGGTACTTCCTTAGGACACCAGAGGACCATTTACAAGAGAGGGCAATGATCTCATCCGTACATCGTCAAGACAGGATGTTGTTGAACCAGTACCTGCTTGGGTTTTATCAAAGGAATCATCCATGCCATCATCTTATGGTTAGATTTCCCACAACTCAGGCATGTAAGGAGAGACCTACATGATTTAGAGAGAGGTCCAACGGTATAAAAGAGAACGCCTAGATCAATAGGCTTATCGAGCAGGTATTACCAGGATTAAAACGGAAGCAGTAACCAGGCAATGGACCAATACCATGTGAATGAAGTACTTGAAGTCCACCCACCACCTATAGCAGCAAAAGAATGGCAGCTGCCTAGACAAACGAGAGTGTTTTTAGCCTAATTAAGATCAGGATGGTACAGGCGCCTCAATTCGTATTGGGCCCGAATTAACGGCGCCATACTAAACATATGCCTTGCGTGTGTACTTGGACCTCACGTTACGCTGCATATCTTTAATTGCCCTGCTAAACCACTAAGAAGGAGATTTAGATCTACTGAAAATTTAAGTCCAGTGGCAGAGTTGTGTAGGTTATCCAATGGTCGGCGGTCTCGTCTGAATAAATTGCTCCGGCTCACTGGTTTTTATTCTACATCGTTCTGACAAATTCAGAAGTTAAACAATTGTTCCAAAAACAGTATAAAAGTTCCATGTAAATTTGAAAAAAAAATTATCATTTCTTTATATAGTTTCTTCTTGCAATTTATTAATGTTAAAAATTGTTATTTTAAAAATAACATTATTATTATTATTATGTATGTTTTTTGTTGAAAAATACAATGAAAGGAATATTTATAGATTTTTTTTTTAAATACCTAATAAAACTTTGTTCCTATAACTTGTTAAGATATGAGTTTTAATAGTGGATTTTATTTGACTATTTTTTTATTTATACTATATAATATGATTCAAATTTTTATATATATGGACAAACTGTTACAATTAATCATATAATTTGTTGTTCCTTTGTTTCTCTTATATAAGATGTGATGTATAGTTGTTATAGTTTTTTTCTTTTAAATATATTGTTTTAGTAATGCTATAATTTTAATTTCTTTTGCTTAGTTATTTTAGTTTTTTTCTTTCTTTTGTATTTGGCACAATTGTTACTAATTTAAAATTAATAAAAAATATGGAAAGGAAAGAAACAGACATTATTATTTTAATTTGTATTCTGTATTATACATTTTACCTAAATATATATTGTAATTTTTGAAAATTGTATTATTTAAGTTTATTTTCTTTTATATTTTCTTTCAGATTTTTTTGAATTGCTGGGCAATGTTATAGTGATATATGTGTGTTATATATTTTTTGTCGTATTGTTTTCCATTTCGTATATTTTTTCCCTCATAATTGGTTTTTCTAATTGAGCCGAAGGAGGAAGTGGGGGGATATGCATGATTTTTTAATTTTGAAATTAATTAATTTCCAAAATCATATATACTCGGTATATATGAATGTTTATAAATTATTGGAGAATACAAGACCAATATTTTTAGGGTGTGTATATTTTCTTTTGTTGTTGTTGTTTTTTACACTATTACAATGAATACTTTATAAAAGACTAGAATTCTATTTAAAAAACTAATAAAACAAAATAGCGAAGAACAAGAAGAAGAAAAAATACATCAATTTTAAATACAATTATTAAAAAGCAAATTGATATAAAAAGTAATAAATATTTATTTATAGGCGGAACCACACAGTCAATGCCACAAATACTTCCAAAGAAATCTTGTCTCCAATGGAGGTGGTCTTTTTAAACCCTACACAACTCTGTTGCCAAGGAATATTGGTAATAGAACCACCCTTTAGTATACTGATCGTCATATCTCGACTCGGCTGAATTAATCAAGACATGTGTAACCGTCCTGCCACAAGTCCATTATAATTTGTAAACAAAGTAAAGGCCACAGGTATGAACCAATCTTCCCGAAATTGTGCATGTATATTCGGTTCTGGCCAAAGACGCTCGCAATTATTTTTGGTTGACGTTTAGGGGATCAAATGCACCACAAACTTTTTCCAGTTACTCTAGAGGTCAAAAATCGGGACATTACATTACGATATTTTACACGAAGAAGGAGATCCAACCAATGAATAAGTAATGCAGTTTTGATTCGGTTCTCGGCAAATGTCTTTGGTTAGGTTAGGCCAAATCACGAAATTTTACGCGGAAAAGGGGATCTGGCCAATGAATAAGTATGGCTATTTTGATGTGGTTAATGCCAATTTTTTTGGCAATAATCGGTTCATATTTAAGGGATCAAATGGACCAAAATAATATTTTTCTGATAGCTCTTGAGGCCGCAGTTATGACCCGAATGAATAAGTAATGCAGTTTTGATTCGGTTCTGGGCAAATGTTTTTGGTTAGGTTTTTAATGAATATCACCTTACGAAATTTTACACGGAAAAGGGTTATCTGGCCAATGAATAAGTATGGCTATTTTGTTCTGGATAAGGAAAATTTTTTTGGTAATGATCAGTTAATATTTATGGTATTAAATGGACCAAAAGAATTTTTTCCTCTGTTTTTCTGGTAGCTCTAGAGGCCCCAGTTATGACCCGAATATGACGAAATTTTTCACATAGAAGGGCATCTGACCAACCAGTATGGTGGTTTTGGTTCGATTCTGGGCAAATTTATTTGGGAATGATTGTTGAATATTTAGGGGATAAACCTTTTTTCACTTTTTTTGGTAGCCCTGTAGGCCATAATTATGATCTGTTTTTCTGGTAGCTTTAGAGGCCCCAGTTATGACCCGAACTAATGGTCTGTTGTTGTTTTGGGGATCAAAAAGGCCGCAAACTTTTTTCTGGTAGCTTGAGAGGCCACAATGACACGAACATAACATCATGAAATTTTACACGAAAAAGGAGATCGGACCAACGAATAACGATTGGTGTTTTGATTCGATTCTGGCTAAATTTTTGTATGTTTTTCTTGTAACTCTAGACGCCACAATTATGGCCCGAATTATACAACATTTTACACAGAGAACGGGATCTGACCAGAAGGAGTGAACTGATGGGTCCCATCTTCGGACATGGTTTAGACTTGGTAAAAGTATTACAATGTGTAAAGTTTGGGTCAAACCGGACATTGTATGCGCTTGGTACTTAATTAACAAATGTTCAAATGTTGTACAGTTATCATGCGCCCCAGCCAGATAGACGGACGGCCATTTGTAAATCGACTCCCAATTGTCTGAAACGGATTTGGTCTAAAGAAACATAGAGTCTAAAACCAAAATTTCGATGAGGCATATTTTGCCCTAAGGCTAAGTGTAGAAAGAGGGTTCTATTATTTCTAATATGTTTTTTTTTATTATTAGAAGTGAATCGAAATTTAGACCCACTCAAAATTTCAGTTCAGCTGTGGTTGTTTAGAATATCATATCGTCGTCCCTGTCCGTTGTTATTGCTCCTTTCACAGGTTATATTTGTAGCATTTTCTATATCAAATATGTGGTTCCACAAGTAAATAAATAATTTTTTCTTGTTATTTGGAAAATTTCTTAATTTTTGAATAATGAAATAAATTTCAAATAAATGCTTTGTCATTTAGGAAGTTGATGCGATATTAACTAAAGACTTTCGAATTATTTTAAATATTACATTTCATTTTCAGTACCATGGACTTTTTTAATTTAAATTGCATGCTCTTTATATAATTTTTTTCTTTTTGAATTTAAGATATTTAACATTGCTTTAACTTAAAAATATTAATATTAAATTAAATCCTCACAAAAGTGTAGAAGTTTGAAGAACATTTAAATCTTTTTCTGAGGGTAGACCTTCCACCCTTCTACACAAGAAATGCATTACAAAATTTACATGAAAATAATAAAAGAATAGTTTGTTTTTAGAATATCGAACTTAATTATGTATGTATATATGTCTTTGACGTACTCGCGCGCACTTATACAAAATTAAAATTGTAAAATATATATATAGTACACAAAAATATGTATTTATGTAATTAAATGAAATCATTTAATTTTTTTGTTGTTTTGTTTCATTTCTTATCATTGATTGATAGGAGGCAGCCATTTTTGTAAAATAATAATTTGGTATTAGTAATTTGGGGAAGAAAAAAAAAACATAATAAACGACATTATTACATTAAACACATACCCGACGACGAAGACTTACAAAAAAACCCCGTGTTTGCCCACCTTTGGTCATGCATTTTATTTTGTTGGTTTGTTTTGTTATTCCCTATAAAGTGGCTATGCCAAATAAAGATTATTATTATTAGAATTTAATCATCCCATTCATCATCATTGCCCGATGATTCGGATTCATCATCTGACGATTGCATAACACGACCACGATCTAATAATGCTCTTCTCAGAGCATCAGCTAAAGCATCAGTACCAGAAACAGGTTCATCGTTAGCACGACTTGAAGGAATTTCACGACTACTAGCCGGTTTAAGTTCAAAGCCCATACGAATTTCAGACATAAGATCACCATGGGAATCACCGCTGCCAGTGCTAAGGGCTGATGTATCCACTTTCTGTAAAGAAGGAAGAGAGAAAGAGAAAAATTAAAACAATTAAAAATATTGCTATAATAAGTGTTTGACAACGAAATGAAACATGGATCTGATTTTTTTTAAATATTTAACATAAAGCTTTTAAATTTTAAGCATAATTTCCTACTACACCTACGATGTTTGGTATTTGGGATATATGCCTCACAAAAAGGTATCTCGCAATATTTTGAATTTTGGGCTTCATTTCAATCCAATTGGCTGCAATTAGGTCTTTTGGGTTCTCGTCGGAAAGCAACCAAACCCTTTTTATTAAAAATGATCAAAATTGGTCCACTTTTTTGACACGATTTTATTTTAAAATTTGGATTTTCATTGATCCAAAAATTATCCACTTTTCGGGGTAGCCACAAATTAACTGAACTTCACAATACTTGTTCTTTTCTACATTTTTCAATCAAATAGGCTGCAATTAGGAATTTTGGGTTCTCATCGGATAACCAATTTTTTTATATCTTCGCTGAATTCCGAACACCATATAACGGTACCGATTTTTGTCGCATTTTCCAAACTAAACAATTTTTAATTTAAAAAAAAGTACCCTTGCAGAAAATCGATATGGTTATAAGTAGACCTCGGATTTTTGCATATTTTTTATGCTTTATCCGATTGGACTCAAATTTTGTATTTAGGCGTTTCATGCTTTAATTGATCGATATTTGGGGTAATGTCAAAAATATGCAAAATTTATGCAAAAAATATGCAAAATATATGCAAAAATATGCAAAATATGCAAAAAATATGCAAAATATGCAAAAATATGCAAAATATGCATAAAATATGCACGGTATGCTAGGTCGATATGCGATAAATATATGCAAAAAATATACAAAATATGCATTGTCGATATGCAAAATATGCAAAAAATGCAAAAATATGCAAAATATGCAAAAATATGCAAAATATGCAGACATATGCAAAATATATGCAAAATATGCAAACATATGCAAAATATGCAAAAATATGCAAAATATGCAAAAATATGCAAAATATGCAAACATATGCAAAAATATGCAAAATATGCAAAAATATGCAAAATATGCAAAAATATGCAAAATATGCAAAATATATGCAAAATATGCAAATATGCAAAAATATGCACGGTATGCTAGGTCGCAATATTAAAGATAGAACTTTGAAATTTTGCACATATATTATTATTACTCCTAGGATGTTTGGTATTGGAAATGGGATATATCGGTCCACGTTTTAGTATATCGCCATATAACGGTTATATATGTTTGCATGTTTTATACATATATTTAGCAAATTTTTCATAATGCCAAAAATCTAACAGTTGAACCATGAAACGCATACATACACAATTAGATATCTATAGGTTAAAAATAAAGAAAGCACACAAATTCGAAAACTACCATGAAAAAACTTTTTTTTTGATTAAAATGATTGCATATGTGAAATGTGTTGCTCATATTTGCACATATTTTGCATATTTTTGCCTATATTTTTCATATTTTTGCATATTTTGCTTATATATTGCATATTTTGCATATATTTTGCATATTTATTGCATATCGACCTAGCATACCGTGCATATTTTTGCATATATTTTGCATATTTATCGCATATCGACCTAGCATACCGTGCATATTTTTTGCATATTTTAGCATATATTTTGCATATTTTGCCTATATTTTGCATATATTTTGCATATTTATTGCATATCGACCTAGCATATTTTGCATATTTTTTGCATATCTCGTGCATATGCAAAATATGCAAATATGCAAAAAATTAAAAAATATGAACCCTTCAAATAATTCTAAATCCTTTGAAACGAATTTGTGTCCAATCAGAATTTCGATATCTTCATTATTAAAAAATATGCAAATATGCAAAATCCGAGGTCTAGTTATAAGGGTCCTGTTAAATTTTCGAAATTGTTAAATCCGGCATTTTCCAGTCGAAGTGGCTGTAATTGGTATTCGAAGTTCTTGGAAGGAGAACAAAATCTTTGCAGATAATAATAATGGGTCTATTTTTGGACATAGTTTCCATATGAGGGTCCTGCCCAAATTTTCGGAATTTTGCAAGTTTTCAGCAGTTTTCCTACGAAAGGTTCTGTAGTTTGGCTATCTGGATTCTTGGAGGGTAAAAAAATATTCGATATGGGTCCATATTTGGACATAGTTCGGCTTAAGTCTAGTTTAGGGCCTCCTCACTGATCGTTTTGAAATTTTTACCACATGTAGTCCTTGGGGCCCTGATTTCAGCAGTATACTTTTTTTCTTGTGGAAATCGGTATTTCCGGAGATATGGGCATCCAAGGTTCCGTTGGGACACTTGTATTTTCTCATAATTTTTTAAAATTCACTAAGACAATATGGGTATCATTTCAAAGCATTTGAAGCCCTGATTACAAAAATTTGATATTCCTATCAAATATGTCCATACTTTCTGAGATATGGGTCTCCAAATTTCGGTAAGTACTTTCCGTGTGTAATATTGGTCAAGGCAGTATGGGTATCATTTTAAAAGAAGGTGATACAATATTTATTAAGAGGAAATTAAGTAGCGTAGTCAGAGTAGCCATCTCTCCATAGGAGAAAGTCTTAAATCCCCGGCCGAAGGCCGGCTACCACCAAAAACTATTCCAATTAAAAGGAGATTCTGACGCGTAGCCGTAGTTACATTTTTGCAATTTGTGTTTCAGCCGCTTTTAATTGATACCCATGTTGTTTTTCAGAAGGATCGCGCGGAATTTTGGAGACCCATATCTCAGAAAATTTGGACTTATTTGATATGAATATTATATTCAAATGCTTTAAAATGATAACCATATTGCCTTAGTGGATTTTAAAAATTTATGAGAAAATACAAAGGGGGTCCCAACGGAACTTTGGAGGCCCTTATCTCCGGAAATACCGATTTCCGCAAGAAAAAAATTATACTGTTATAATCAGGGTCCCAAGGACTACGATCCGGGAGGGGGCCCTAGACTTGTTCCCATAGTTCATAAGGATTTAAGGTTTGCATTGATTTTTTTCGACTGAAGTTTCTGTAATTTGGCATTTTGGGTAATTGAAGGATTACAAACATATTTGCAAAAATTGCGATATAAACCGAAGTTTAGACATAGCGGTTCCGCACCATTTTGGAAATATTTAAGGTATTTGTCGCTTTTTCCGATCGAATGTACCTTGAGATTCTGGGTTCTTGAAGGGAGACAAACAGGTTTGCAACAAAAATTCCGATAAAGAAATAGACTCCATTCTTGGAGATTGAAAAACATATTTGGCATTTCGGGATCTTTGTGGTCGAAAAACATATATGGCCTCATGTTCAGACATAGCTCCGCCACAATTTCGGGATTTATCTCCGAAAGTGTCGTAAAAGTTGTCGTAGACCAATTCATTTAACTATGCAAAATTTCGGAAAGCACACGTCACTTCGGACAAAATTCAGTACTCTGTGAAAAATTGTTTATTATTCGGACAAACGGTGGTTGTTTGCGTATCATTAACCAGAGACAGTATTTGAATAAAACTTAGTTTAATCTCAATTCGGTACGCGGTGCAAAATTGCAGGTCAAGCGGGCAAACTGTGGGGGTTTGGTACATCATTAAAATGAAATCAGACAAAAATATGTATATGGCATCTATATCTAAATCATAACCGATTGAACAAAACATAACAAACAACATTATAGATTCAATGCTGCTTAAAATTCCATGTCAATCGCTTGAACTCCTTGTGTTAGGTGCAGCTTTGCGGGTAACCCCTTTTAATGGCAAATCAACACGGCTATATTAAATTTTCACGCCTGTTTTTCATTAAATATTTAGCCATTTATAGATGATTTATATATATGAAAGATGTAATAATTTACTTATTTGACAAATTTTTGACGGCCTCACAGTGATATATCGAATGTTATAGAAAAATATTTCACAATCAACTCGCGTTCACTGATAAGAACTTACCTTAAGTTGTACGCCTTTACGTATACTATCCATAAGTTCATTACGCGTATCTGATATTGGCGGTAGACTTGATGGAGCCTTAGTTTCAGTTTTAACATGGGTTGTTGTAATTGAGGGTACTTCTCCCATAGCCGGAGGTGGAGGCGGTGGTGGAGGTGCAAATGAAGCCGCTGGTGGTGGAGGAGGTGGTGGCTATGAAGTAAATAAGAAATAAAGATCAGTATATCACCATTAATTGCAATGTGGAAGCAATTGTTAACTTACCGGTGCTGTACTAGGAGCTGGAGGTGGTGGTGGTCTAGAGGGTGGCGCAGGAGCTCTTGATAGACCAGGCACTGTTGTAGGTACTGGTGGTGGAGGTTGTCTAGCTGGTGGAGGTGGTGCAGATCTTGGGGCTGATGGTGTTGTTGTTGCTGTCGTCGTAGTCGTGGTTGTATTGCCATTTTGGGCCTGTGAAACATTTGCAGATAAACAACAAATTAAATATTTTTCTTTTATTGCCTTTGTTAATCAGTAACTTACATGATGATGATGTCTGGTTGGTGGCGGTGGTGGTGGTGGAGCAGCTAACGTAGTTTTTGGTTTTTCCACATTTTCCTGTTTCACAATATCCAAAACATTTTTATTCTGTATAAAGTCATAGATGAACGCCCTTGTATCACGATCACTTAACTGATGTTTCGATACACCAGCCTTGGCGAAGAATTGCGTTAGAACTTCATCGTTTTCATCGCCCTGACAATCGAAGCCCTTATCATCATCCCAGCCGACATGTGAAACATGGCGGAAATTGGTTGGTGCACCAATATCACATTTATTGAATTTTCCCTTTTGTTTTTTATTATTGGAAGACGATGACAGCGAAGAGAATAGATGTTTCGATGTTGGCTGCTGAACCGGTGCAGGGGCTGGGGTAAAATTGATAGTGCCAATTTTGGAGGCATTATTACGTAACTGTACAGTGTTGGAATCAGGTTCTTTGGGCAATGGAGCTAATGGGGCGGATGGAGCCATTTGCGATTTTCGTTTATTGCGTTTTTCTGTAATGCGGAGGAGGAAGAAGAGAAAATCCAAAAGTAGAAATTAGAAAATTATTGTTTATACCTTAATTGCGACACAACTATAGCTATGATAAAAAAATGAGGCATCTAATATATGTATATTGCGATAATGGCTATGAACTTCATTAGACACACTAACAAACGATGTTTACAAGACACAAGTGATGTGGACTTAACTTTAAATGTTTTTTTTTAATGTTGTTCGCATTAATAATTTACATAACAAATTAACACATAGAGTAAAGCATTGCAGACGATACATACACACATATTTGTACTCACATGCATTATAACATAATGCGATGTATAATGACAGAATGGGGGGCGGGCATTCACAGCAGTTATAGCCTAATTTTTGGAAACATGAAATTCAATTTAATGTGAAACATGACATAAAATATTGGATTATGGCTATTCGAGCTATAATCAAATAGTTTAAAAATAATTTTTAAGCATACCAAAAATTTCAATATACAATTTTGTCAATGATAACCCGGTAAATACTTTTTAAGGGATTTATATAGGCGAGCAGAAGAGGCTCTATTTGAATTTTTAATGAATATTTTTTAACAACTATTATAACTGTGACATTTTAAAGAAAGTTTTGGAATTCGTTGGACAATTAGAATTCTCTATATACGTATTTATTTACAGAAGACTATCTGAAAGAGTGAATCTTTATAGAAATGCTAAAGATTTAATGTTGCTCATGTAACAATGTGGCTGTTCCTTTTAAAATATATTGATATAAAATGAATGAAACAATATGGAAAATCTATTAGCTTATGTATGAACGGAATTAGGCTTCGATGGACATGGATCCACATTTTCGGATTTTTACCAACAGTGTCGTAAAATTTGGTATTTATGATGATGTCTTTAAGTGTGAAAAGAATCGAATATGTCCACGTATAGACATATTTACCCTACAATATTCCCTCTTAATTTTCGGTATTTTTGGAAAGTTTTGTCGCTTTTTCCATATGGCGTTGTGGGTTTGTTTTAATTGAACAAACGTCCTATTTACATGATATCGAACAAAAATGTATATGGGATCTAAATCATGATACACAACACTCTAGACCGATTCTAGATACACATCATTCTGGACAATATGGAAAATCTATTAGCTTATGTATGAACGGAATCAAGCTTCGATATGGGTATCCGGAGAAATTGAATATGTGATGTGTAGAGGGGCATCTATTTAGGATTCAGGGAACAATGCACACTCGATAAGAATTAAGAACAACATGGAGTTTAATGCCCAATGGAATGACGTTTTAGATGCCTTCACGATAGCAAATGATGTCCTGGCGGTTATGTTGCAGAGTTGCATTAGCCATTAATGTATGATTGTTGTGATCTCACAGCAGATAACACGCCAGCAGGTCAAAAACACATTACGAGTTTACGCAGTTTGGAAAGTTCTTAGCCTAGTACAAAGTTAGCTGTTTCCATCTCTGTTATCTTCCATCTCTGTTATGAACACATGTTAATTTTTGTATTGATCTGGCAACTCCTTAAACAAAACAGCATTCAACTGTGTGGCTCTTCGAAGACATGTCTAATCCAATGAAAGTTGTCGCATTTTTTCTCGTTTCGTCAAAACTTGTCTTGTGATCGTAGGGCAGTCAATTCTGTAGGGCAGTCAAATCTGAGTGGGTGGCGTAGGGGATGATAGATACCAAGCAACGGCTCTGATTGGCTTTAACATGACGAAGTCCAGGCTTATCTTGGTCCCTCTTAGCTATTTCATTGGCAGAATCCGCGCGTTCCATTGCGAGGTAGTCGGCAACAGATGGCTGAGAGAACCTGCTTGCAGAATCTCTAAATCTATCTGGCCAGAATTCTCTCGTAAAAGAACGTCTTCACAGCAAAAGGGAGATCAAAATCGTTGTGGTGATCATTACTGGTCACTGCAAAGTTAGACCTCTCACTTCTAAGTGGGACTCCAGTGGAGAGGATTACTGTCGTCTATGTGAGGACGAAGAAGAAGTGGAAACAATTGAGCACATCCTCTGCAAATGTCCATCGCTGATCAGCAGAAGACATAAACAGTTTGGATGTTATGAAATTGATAATCTAGTCTTCTTCTCCAAAATAGACCCTAACCAAATTCTAGGCTTTGTCAAAAAATTGACTTGGCTAAAATAATGTCTTTTCCGCTCCCTTTTTTTCTCACTATTTCTCTCTCTACTCTTCCACTATATTTTTTCTTCTCTTTATAGGTATACCTATACATAAAGGATGATCACAATGGACATAGTTTCCGAGTGGACGGTTGTTATAACAGCCGTACATCCCTAACCTAACCTAACCTTGGTCCCTCTTTCATCTCAATTGTGGACACTGACCTCCCCGCGGTGCCACCTGGGGTAGCTATTTTTATCATCCGTTGAAATAGTGAGCTGATATGTGCGAGAGTTTACCCATAAGATCTACAAAAAAATGGGTTGAGGCGTCGGGTTAGTTGTCCACGCCCGGAAACCCAACCTGCATGAAAAAGCAAAGAAAGAGAAACCCCCCTAATGTTGACAACCCCCGCAAACGTATAAAGGACTACGATCTGCGAATCTGCACATGGAATGTGCGCACGTTGTACAGAACAGGCGCAGTTTTCGCTTTGGCGGATGTACTCAAGAAGTACAATGCCTATATTATTACCTTACAGGAAATGCGATGGAAAGGGACAGGCATAAGTAAATCAGAGGATTACGCACTGTATTATAGCTGCCATGAAACGAGAAATGAATTTGGCTGCGGATTTATGGTTGACAGGAGAATAAAAGACCTCGTCCCCAGATTCACTCCAGTAGATGAGCGAATTGCTATAATCCGTATAAATGCGAAGTTCTTCTACATTAGTATCATTTGCGCCCATTCTCCGACGGAAGACAAAGATGAACAGATCAAAGATATTTTTACGAGCGCGTAGAAACAGCATATGACCGCAGCCCTGGCCATGACATTCTACTAGGGATTTTAATGCACAAATCACAAGGGAAAATATTTTTGGTCCCACCGTCGGGAAATTGAGCCTCCATGAAGAACAACGGCATGAGGTTTATTAAATTCGCGGCAGCAAAAAATGGTAGTTAGCAGCACCAGATCTAAGCATCTCGATATACACAAGGCCAACTGGATTTCTCCTGATCAAGCAACGAGATCACACGGAAACACAACAGGTAGCAGAAGCCTACTCAGCTCAACTTACATACCTGCTTGACGAAAGCAAAGAATTGCCCACTCCCTACAAACTGCAGCAAAAGCAACACTTGGGTACCAAAAACTACGATCAGGAGTGTCGTAATGCTACCGAAGTGAAAAACGCAGCGTATAGGGCAACCCTGCAGACAATAGCAACACGCAGTTCGATGGAGAATTATCGGGAGAAAAGGAGAGAGGAGAAACGTATTTTCAGAAAAAAGAAGAAAGAACAAGAAAAACCACAATTAGTTTGCCAGAACTCTTCGAAGGAATTCGAAGATAGAAGAAGGGAAGACGGATTATTGTGTACTATGACAATGCGAGCATTAACACGTCGGATCAAACCAGCGCCTTTTATAACGGTAAAATCGTAAATTGATTGGACATTCTCAGTATAGTCATAACGTGGCACCAAAGACGCACACATCAAGCAAAAGTACGGGATTAATAATCGGCAGATGATCCAGTTGAAGCGTCCAAAAACTATGCTAAGTAGGTATCTCCAACGGTGAGAAAAAAGTGCTTCGACAATTGGTTTGAGTACATGGAAAAGTATATAAATCATGCTATACAGAGGCCAGCGCTTAAAATCCACAATATTTCAATAAATTAATATATCCGCGAATTAACATATAATCCGCGAATTGGACTCATTTTCAATTGTGTACTTTCTGAAAGTTTTTTTTTTCACGATGAGCGCCTTAGGTTGGACCCCTCAACATAACACATGTATATTTTAATTAAAGTGGTGGGAAGTTAATGACGGGCACATACAAACAAAAAGCAGAGCATAAACAAAAGCTAACCTAATTTCTTACGGTTTCTTGTTTCAATGGTTTTATCCACAGCACGGTAAAATGAGTCACATTCATCCTCTGAGACAAAATTCAATGCGATATGACCATCCTGGAAACAAACAAAATGAAACAAAAACATGAATTAATAATAATGTTCCGCATTCAAGTGAAAAAATATGGTGTTCTCTTACCTGACCCTCAAATGTCAATAGAAATGATCGGGCCTTATTGATTTTCATCGCATCGTACAGTTCATGTTCCCATATCAGTTCATGTTTGATTAGGCAATAGGCGCGTAAAAAATAGGAACGTAAATCCCAATCTTTGACAAAACATACAACGCCGGTATGTTTCTTTTTCCAATGGGAATGAGCGGAAGCTTCGGTTTTGTAAATTTGTACAACGGCTGTGTTGAGAGTCTGTAAGGAATGCAAAGAAGAAAAAAAATTTATTACAATAATTTTTTAATGGAATTTAATAAGGTGTACATGTATAAAGAAAATTTTGAAATTAAATCCCCGGAAGAACGAACCTTCTCAAATGCTAGTCTGCAATAAACTAAACAGAACAATGACACTGCTTCTGGTGTCCCTTTGAATTGTTGGGCTTCAAACAATTTATTTTTAAACCAAGCACCAGCATGATGTGTAATTTCCTTGACAAACAACGCCTAGCTAGAATGTCCGTGTGGACAGTGGTTAAGTATTTCCTAACGATGCTTTAAATAACTTTGTATGCTTGATGGGAATTTCCCATTAATAAAAAATATTCATATACAAATCTTCTTTTTTACTATATAGAGGAAAGATTTGCAAATATATGCGGACTATTGGAGAGGTTGACAACAATTCAAGATTCAAGTTTGAAAGCTTTTGAGAGGAATGAGCAGAATTTGAGGATACATTCGTATGAGAAGAACTGATAGAAAACTGTAAAATAAATGGTTGCAGAATTTAGGGGATGGACAACGGCCCAAGGATCCATTTCAAGATTATGGAGGTTTTTGACAGAACAGTCTTAGTGTGGCTCTTGACTTATCGAAAGCCTTCTATAATGTCAATAACGCCAAACTGTTCGAGGACATAGAGAAGACCTGTCTTCGGCCTAGTTTGAAACGTTGGATAATCATTTACATGTGTGGTCGTCAGTCATATGTGGAATTTAGAAACAAGAAATGTAAAACCCATAGAGTGAAACAGGGAGTTCCCCAAGGTGGGGTCATATCACCGGAACTGTTTGACCTCTACCTTTCTGAAATTCCACAATAACAGGACGGCATAGATAATGTAATGTATCATGCCATCGTGCCCCATTATCGATGGCATTTGTGAAAAGTTAGTAAAGTTCTTCCATCTGAGGCATATGAAGATATCCGCCGCTAAACCCACCGCCACTCTGTTCACCACATGGATGGCTGAAATGAAGCCACATCTGAACATCATGATCGATGGTGCACTAGTTGCAACCATGAATATTTTGTGTGTAACATTCGCGCAAGCCATCGATATTTACGATAAGATGGATGAATCAGGAACAAGGTCCTCAAATCGTTTGCCGGCAGCTCTTGGGGTGCTGACCTTTTACAAAGCAATATGTTGGTCGGTGGTAAGCTATACGGCGTTAGTGTGGTTCGCGAAGGTAAGCGAAACACAGTGGCAGAACATTCCAACCTGTCAGACTCCCCTCAGCTCGTCTATAAAGACTTCCTTCAGCTCGTCTATAAATACTTCCTTCAGCTCTCTATAAAGTCTCCCTCTTCAGCTCGTCTATAAAGACTCTCTTCATCTCGTCCATAAAAACCCCCTTCAGCTCGTCTATAAAGACTCCCTCTTCAGCTCGTCTATAAAGACTCTGCTCAGCTCGTCTATAAAGACTCTGCTCAGCTCGTCTATAAAGACTCTGCTCAGCTCGTCTATAAAGACTCTGCTCAGCTCGTCTATAAAGACTCTCCTCAGCTCGTCTATAAAGACTCTCCTTAGCTCGTCTATAAAGACTCTCCTCAGCTCGTCTATAAAGACTCTCCTCAGCTCGTCCATAAAAACCCCTTCAGCTCGTCTATAAAGACTTCCTTCAGCTCTCTATAAAGACTCCCTCTTCAGCTCGTCCATAAAAAACTCCTTCAGCTCGTCTATTAAGACTCCCTCTTCAGCTCGTCTATAAAGACTGTCTCCTTCTCTTCTATAAGACTGTCTACAACTTCAAAGAGTCGACTCGGTTCATCTGTAACGACGGTCTTCAGCTCGTCTATAAAGACTCCCGCCAACTTGCCTATAAAGATTCCCTCCAACGGGATTTTAAAGACTCCCTACCTTTTATCCCATCGATAAAAACTCCCTTCCAGAGATTATTTTGTCATTTGAAATCTCTGGCATTTGTTCATTTTAATTCACTGTTTCGATACTGAACAACAACAATAAATTAGCTAAATGTAGTCATTTCGTTATTGTTGCTGCTAAAGTAACATCATTTCATTTCGTATCAATTCATATGCGTGAATATTTACTGCATACAAATGAACTGCTGGCGAAGTCCGAGTAGATTTTTGTTTGCTGCTGCAATCACTTCCATTCAAACACACGCCAAGCTGTACGACGATACGTAGTTGGGTTGATGATATTTTTGAATATGGCTTGTTGGATAGATGTTTATGGCTAATAGACAAATGATTGGACGTGGTGGTAACAAACTGCTGCAGCAGTAGTGCCGATGGCGGCAGCTGTTTGCAGCAGACACTAATAATAATAGCAAAAAAGAAGAAGAAGAAAATAAGGGTTATGCCAATCCGCCAGCAAAAACGAAAGCAAAAAAATGGGTATTGCGTTTTGTTTTCTGTTCAGCCATTGGTATGTCAGTCACGTTTAAATAATATCAACTATTGTCGTCAAGTGTGTTGGTGACAGATAGCTAAAGAGAGTCAAGCAGGCAGACAGCCAGGCAGTTAGCCAATAAACCAACCAACAAACAACTGCAGCAGAGGCAGAAGCAGCAGCAGTTATAATGCAAAATATTTGAAAATTTATTTTTATAAGATTTGAATTGGCCCCATCATCTGTAGGTATACATGCATGTGTGTGTGTGTGTTTGGAAGACAGTAGCTGCAGCGGCATGTTTTCTTATCAGAAATTGGTAGCCAAGAATTGAAATGTATTTTATTTGGTTCGGCTTATGTGGACGATTTGTAAATTTGTGGATCTATTTATTATCCCAGAATGAGTCAAAGGTATGATTATGAAGGATATAAATATCATGAATTAATGATACCAACATTTCCAGATTTTGTAAGAAGAGAACCTACGACTTCTTAATGGCATACCAAAATTTCTTCGACTGAGCATACTACCCCGGTGTTAAATATACACATTGTTTTGCATGGACAAACAAGGTTTTGTCAGGACATTGGTGGTATAAATGATGACAACAATGAGGATAAAGAATTTCGACAAGTAGGAAGTACATAGTAGTGGCGGTCAGTACTGCTGCAGAAGATAGGCGAATGTGTGTGTGTGCGTCTGCCGACGACGAAAAGAATGGCTGGCATTCAGTGCTGGTGTAATTACAAGCAAAGAAAGGAAATCATAAAACAATGACAGTGACAATGGTTTAAAGAGGAACAAATAGAAAAAACAATCACATTTAAGTACGACATTGGTGGATTTAAAATTCAATAATAATCTTTAAAATGTTAGCCAAGAAAGTTTTTCAAATAAATGTTTTTATATAAACGAAGATATTTGCTAATTAAAAAAAAAAAAATAAAATAAAAAAAAATCGACCATAAAGATGCCCTTCAGTAAGCCAATAAATACTCTTTTCAGGTCGTCTAAAAAGTCGTCCTTCAGATTGTATCTAAAAACGCCCTTCAGCTCGTCCGTAAAGACGCATTCGACAGGTCGACTATAAAGACGTCTTTCAGTTAGTCAATACAGTCGTATTATTAGCTTTTTTACAAAGATACCCTCATCGATGCCATTCCGGTCGTCTATAAAGACGCCCTTCAGTTTTTCTTTAAAGACACCCTTCAGCTTGGCTATTAAGCCGACCTTTGATTTGGCTATTAAGCCGACCTTTAGTTTGGCTATAAGGACGACCCTTAGCTTGGCTATAAAGACCAATTGGTCTATATAGAGACCACAGGTCTTTATAAAGACCAATTGGTCTATATAGAGACCACAGGTCTTTATAAAGACCAATTGGTCTATATAGAGACCACAGGTCTTTATAAAGACCAATTGGTCTATATAGAGACCACAGGTCTTTATAAAGACCAATTGGTCTATATAGAGACCACAGGTCTTTATAAAGACCAATTGGTCTATATAGAGACCATAGGTCTTTATAAAGACCAATTGGTCTATATAGAGACCACGGGTCTTTATAAAGACCAATTGGTCTATATAGAGACCACAGGTCTTTATAAAGACCAATTGGTCTATATAGAGACCACAGGTCTTTATAAAGACCAATTGGTCTATATAGAGACCACAGGTCTTCATAAAGACCAATTGGTCTATATAGAGACCACAGGTCTTTATAAAGACCAATTGGTCTATATAGAGACCACAGGTCTTTATAAAGACCAATTGGTCTATATAGAGACCACAGGTCTTTATTAAGACCAATTGGTCTATATAGAGACCACAGGTCTTTATAAAGACCAATTGGTCTACATGGAGACTACAGGTCTTTATAAAAACCAATTGGTCTACATGGAGACCACAGGTCTTTATAAAGACCAATTGTTCTATATAGAGACCACAGGTCTTTATAAAGACCAATTGGTCTACATGGAGACTACAGGTCTTTATAAAAACCAATTGGTCTACATGGAGACCACAGGTCTTTATAAAGACCAATTGTTCTATATAGAGACCACAGGTCTTTATAAAGATCAATAGAAACCCCAAGCATTTATAAAGACCAATTGGAGCATATATAGAGGTCTTTATATAGACTATTAAGCTTTAAACCTTCCACCATAGGGTATAATTATTTCGGAGAACTTACTCTATATATAAGATAAATGATAATTATTCACGAACACTCTTTATGAAGGTGGAAATGCGTAACAACGTCATTTTTTAAATCTATTCATGTCGACTTAATTAAACAGACGCCTAACATTTACAGCAGACCACCTTCATTAACACCAAAGTCAAAGGCAGCATCACTGACAATCATAGGCCGTTCGTTCAATAATTTCTCACAGCATGTCTATAAAATAGACTACAAAGTAAAATAACTTATCTACCAGCAATCAACCTACGCGCCTGATCAATTAACCAACGGTCGACTGCTGGTCAGTTTATTAACGCTTCAGTTCAACACTTCAACTTGACGTCTCTTGACAGCATCTCTGCCGCTGTCGTTGTTCGCACTTTCTAAGCAGAAATAGAAAGAAAAAATCGAACATGTGTGCAAA